TCGTTTCTCCTGTTTCCAATTCTTACATAGGTCTCTGATTTCATTAAATCTGAGTTTTACTGTGCGTATTGTTATGTATTTTTATTGCAAGATTTATAACTTCTTAAGGGACCCAATGGTGGCCTTGTGCTGTACTTTGATTGGGTTCCATCATTTCTGTCCGATTTAGATGTAACTTTGACAAGGAACATCCCAAAACTCAGTAAGAGTTACAAGATTCATTTTTTTTATTCTTATATTTTTTAGTTTCTTTTTCTATTTTATTCGTTAAAAGTTTTTCATGACAATAATGTTGTTTATGTCCAGATCCTGGATTATTATCCGGTACACCCGCTAGAACAGCAGCGCAAACTACTGCTAGAAAGAATATATTTATATTTGTCAATTAATTACAAGTGGCCGCTTGAATATCTCATTAAAAGCTGACATTTTAAGTGATTTGTTCAATCTCACATTAAGATAGATAATATTGAATGCAATCAATATTATGAAACCAAATATTTTTTTTTAAATTCTATGACTTAAACTGTTTTAATCGTACCTTCTTCTTTGTTTCTCATGATATGCAAGAACACACACACACACATATATATATATTCATGGCTTTAAAATTAAAAGATATGCAAACATTGGTTAAGAAATAAAAAAGATGAGTTGTTTGCAAACTTTCAAAGATTTTGAAATGCTGCGAAAACAAACAATGCGAATGATTTGTATGAGTTAAAGCAAGCACATACGATGCATTTTTACCTGATTGCTTTTGACACATGAGTATTGATACATACCATGCATTCCTTTAGGTCCTTTGGGTCCTCTAGGTCCTGGTGATCCTTTATCTCCTGGAAAACAGATTGCCATCAATATAATACTACGAACGACATTGTTTTTTTTTTGGTCATTTGATGAAGACATAATCGTTTGAACAGTTTAATTGAGGTCTTAAGCTAGCATGGCAGTAACTGCTAGTAATACTTTGTTAATTTATGTTGATGATTGTCATTTTGCTTAGTTTCTTCTTACAAAGGACTCTGATTTCTTTAAAACTGAGTTTTACTGTGCGTCATAGTGTGTGTTTGTTTATTGTATGATTTCTCACTTCTTTGAAGGCCAACTGTCGGCCGTGTGATGTTTTTGAACTTTGATCGGGTTGTTTTATACTTCTCACATTCCCTTTTTCTATTTTCTATTCTACTAATGTGTTACCTCAACTGCTGATTTGCAAACTTAACATGAAAATCCTTTGCAGGGAAATTTCCCGTCTGACACAGCTGATTTGAGTCAGTGAAGACTGTAAAATCTTACTAGAGGGTGTCTTGAATGCCTAAAGTCGAAATGGGGCCGTATATTTGAAATATAAAACAAAATACCTATAAAAATGAACTAAGCTGTCTTATGCTCTATTGGAGATTATATGTGTTAACGAAAATTTCCTTGTTAATAATTTTTTTTTTAATTAGGGCATTGACTTCGTTTTAATGTTGACCATGTTTGAAATAAAACATTAAGCTTTTTGCAAAAGGTTAAGTAAAGTCATGGAAATCGGAACCAGAAATTCAAGTTCCTTTGTATGAAAAATACTTAAATTCATTCAAATAAAGATTTCTGTCATCTGATGTCTGCATCTTTTAAAATAGCAATGCTTAACACTAAGAAAAAGAATGTTCTTTTTTATAGTCGAACATATTTTTTATTCTTTAACCATTGATAACTACGCACAAGGAACAAAGGTAAATACTTTAGTGTAAACTTTATGTCATTGAGATCTTAATTTCAATCTATGACTTTTAGATAAGCCTGCATACGGTTCCATATCTGTCAGGTGTTGATATAACTGTGGGAGTTATAAGGTTAATTTTTTTATTCTTATTTTTTTAGTTTATTTTTCTTTTATATGCGAAAAGTTTTCTTCATGATAATAAGTTTTTTTTTCACCTTCAAATCCTAGCACATTATCCATTACATTCGCTAGGACAAGAATACAAACTACTGCTAGAAATGAGACATTCTTTTTTGTCAAACAATTGCAAGTGGCCGCTATAATTTCTCTTTAAAAGTGAGATTGTAAAAGATTTGTTCAATCTCTTACATTAATATGGTAAATATGTAATGCCATCATTGTTATGATATCAAAATGTTTCTTTTTGAAAGTTTACTGACTTAAATTGTTTTAGTCGTACCCTATTCTTTGTTTCTCGCAAGGACATGCGATGCATTTTTACCAGATTGCTTTAGACACACACGGATGTTGATACATACCATTCATTCCTTTATATCCTGGTGGTCCTCTAGGTCCTCTAGGTCCTAGTGGTCCTTGTCTTCCTGGAAAACAGATTTCCATCTATATAATACTACGAAAGACATTAATTATTTTGGTCATTTGAAGACGATATAACCGTACGATCAGTTTAGTTGAGGTCAGGAGCTAGCACGACAGTAACTGCTAGAAGTCCTTTGTTAATTTATGTTTATGATTGTCATTTTGCTTAGTTTCTCCTGTTTCTTATTCTTACACATGTTACATAGGACTCTGGTTTCATTAAAACTGAGTTTTTCTGTGCGTATAGCTGTATGTATCTTTATTGCAAGATTTCCTTCCTCTTGGAGAACCCACTGGTGGCCTTGTGCTGTTTTTGCATTTTAATCGGTTTAATGTTTTTTTCACACATTACCCGTTTTCATTTTCTCTTCTATTGACGTGTTAACTCGACTGCTGATTTGCAAAGTTATCATGCAAATTCTTTGAAGTGACATATCTCATCTTCCAGAGCTTGTGTGAGTGAGTGATGACTGGAAATCTTACTAAAGGTTATCTTGAATGCCCAAAGTCAAAAGGGGCCGTACGTTAGAAATATAAATCAAGAATAAACTACATTGTCTGATGCTCAATTGACGATTTCACGTTTTGACGGCAATTTTCTTCTTAAATATTTTTTTTTTATTATGGTATTGACTTTGTTTTGTTTACCATGTTGGAAATGAAACATTGAGCTTTTAACAAAAGGTTAAGTATAGTCATACCAATTTGAAACAAAAATTCAAATTCCTTATATGAAAAAAAAATCAAATTCATTTATCTAAAGATTTTTTATATCTGATGTTTGCAAATTTAAAAATAATAATGTTTAACACTAAGAAAAAGAAAGATTTTCATAGTCGAAAATATTTTTGTTTCTCACAATATCCAAGACATATATACATGGCTTTAACATTGAATTGATATGCAAACATGTTATTTAAGAAATTAAAAAGATGAGTTGTTTGCAATCTTTCATAGATTTTGAAATGCTGCGAATACAGACAATGAGAATGATTTGAATGAGCTAAAACAAGCACTTTCGATGCATTTTTACCAGATTGCTTTTGACACACAAGGATGTTGATACATACCATACATTCCTTTAAGTCCTTTAGGTCCTCTAGGTCCTGGTTGTCCTTTATTTCCTGGAAAACAGATTGCCATCAATATACTAATACGAAAGACATTTATTGTTTGGTGATATGATAAATACATAATCGTTCGATCAGTTTAATTGAGGTCTGGATCTAGCAAGACAGGAACTGCTAGTAGTCCTTTGTTACTTTATGTTGATGATTGCTATTTTGGGTAGTTTCTTCTGTTTCACATTCTTACATAGGACTCTGGTTTCTTTAAAACTATGTTTTAATGTGCGTATTCCTGTGATTTTTTATTGCAAGTTGTCTCACTTCTTTAAATACCCACTATTGGCCTTGCGCTGTTTTTGTAGTTTGATCGGGTTGCTGTTTCTTTCACACATCCCCCGTTTCCATTTTCTATTCTATTGATGTGTTAACTCGACTGTTTATTTGCAAACTTAACATGAAGTCCTTTGGAGTGACATCTCCCGTCTGACAAAGCTGGATTGAGTCAATGATGACAGGAAATCTTAATAAAGGGTGTCTTGTATGCCCGAAATCGAAATGGGCCGTACGTTTAAAATATAAAACAAACCTTTGGAATAAACTGAACTGTCTTATGCTCTATTGAAGATAACATGTCGACGGCAAATTTCTTTTAAAATATTTTTTTTTAAATTAAGGTATCGACTTCGTTTTGATGTTAACCTTGTTAGAAATATAACATAGAGCTTTTTGCAGAAACGTTAAGTATAGTCATAGAAATTGGAACCAAAACCTCAAGTTCCTTTATATGAAAAATACTTAAATTCATTAAAATAAATATGATTTATATCTGATGTTTACAACTTTTAGAATTACAATGCTAAACACTAAACATGAAGGACAATGTTGACAGTCGAAAATATTCTTATTCTTTAACAATTTATAACTACGTACAAGGGACAAAAGTAAATACTTTAGTGTAAAATTTATGTTATTGAGATCATAACTTCAATCTCTGACTTTAAGATAAGCATGCATACAATTCCATTTTTTACAAAGTGTTTGATGCAACTGTGACATGGAACATATAAAAATTTATTGTTATATTTTTTAGTCTATTTTCCTATTTATTCAAAAGGTTTTTCATCATAATAATGTTTTGTTTTACCTCCAGATCCTAGCACATTATCCAGTACTCCGCTAGAAAAGTAGCGCAAACTGCTAGAATTGATACATATTTTTTTTTCCAACAAGTGCAAGTGGCCGCTAGAATATCTCTTTAAAAGTGAGATTTTAAGTGATTTGTTCAATCCATAACTTAAAGATTGAGAATATGGAATGCAATCATTGTTATGATATCAAAATATTTCTTTTTGAAAGTTCTATGACTTAAAGTGTTTTAATCGTACCTTATTCTTGTTTTACACAATATCCAAGACATACATATACATGTCTTTAACATTGAACTGATATGCAAACATGTTATCTAAGAAATTAAAAAGATGAGTTGTTTGCAATCTTTCAAAGATTTTGAAATGCTGCGAATACAAACAACGCGAATGATTTGTATGAGTGAATGCAGGTACATATGATGCATTTTTACCAGATTGCTTTTGACACACACGAATGTTGATACATACCATGCATTCCTTTGGGTCCTTTGGGTCCTCTAGGTCCTGGTGGTCCTTTCGCTCCTGGAAAACAGATTGCCATTAATATAATACTACGAAAGACATTGTTTTTGGTCTTTTGATGAAGACGTAATCATTCAATTAGTTTAATTGAGGTCTGGAGCTAGCACGACAGTAACTGCTAGTATTCCTTTGTTAATTTATGTTCATGATTGTCATTTTGCTTACTTTCTCTTGTTTACAATTCTTACAAATGACTCTGATTTCTTTAAGATTATGTTTTACTGTGCGTATTGCTGTCTTTTTTGTGCAAGTTTTCTCACTTCTTTAAATACCAACTGGTGGTCTTGTACAGGTTTTGCACTTTCGTCGGATTGCTGTTTCTCTCACACATTCCCCGTTTCCATTTTCTATTCTATTGGTGTGTTAACTCGCCTGTTGATTTGCAAATTTAACATAAAAGTCCTTTGGAGTGACATCTCCCATCTGACAAAGCTGGATTGAGTCAGTGATGACGGGAAATCTTACTAAAGGGTGTGTTGAATTCCCAAAGTCGAAATGGGGCCTTACGTTTAAAATATAAAAAAAACAAACACATGGAATAAATAAAACTGTTGTATGCTCTATTGAAGATTACATCTGTTGACAGCGATTTCTTTTTTTAATTAAGGTATTTACTTTGTTTTATTGTTTACCATGTTTAAAATAAAACATTGAGCTTTTTGCAAAAGGTTAAATCATGGAAATTGGAATCACATTCCAGTTTCTTAAGATGAAAAATACTTAAATTCATTGAAATAAAGCTTTCGTCCGTCTGATGTTTGCAACTTTTAGAATAATAATGCTTAACACTATGAAAAAGAATGATTTTCATAGTCGAACATATTTTTATTCTTCAACAATTTATAACTACGCACAAGGAACAAATTAAATACTTAAGTGTAAACTTTATGTTATTTAGATCCTTATTTCAATCTATGATTTTAGAATACGCATGAATACGGTGCCATTCAGATTTTGATATAACTTTGACATGGAACATACAAAACTTCAGTAGGAGTTAAAAGATATATTTTTTTTTATTCTTTTATTTTTTAGTCTACTAGTATTTTCCTTTTTTATTTAAAAAGTTTTTTCATGATAATAATGCTTTTTAACATCGAGATCGTAGCAACTTATTCGGTTCATCCGCTAAAACAGCAGCCCAATCTTTTGCTAGAAATGATACATTCATATTTGTTGATCAATTGCAAGTGACCGCTGGAATATCTCTTTAAAAGGTGAGATTTATGTGATTTGTTCAATCACACATTAAGATAGAGAATATGGAATGCCATCATTATTACGATATCAAAATATTTCTTTTTGAAAGTTCTGTGACTTAAAATGTTTGAATCGTACTTTATTCTTTGTTTCTCTCAATATACAAGAACAAATATATACATGACTATAAAATTGAACAGATATGCAAACACATTATTTAAAAAATTAAAAAGATGAGTTGTTAGCAATCTTTCAAAGATTTTGAGATGCTGCGAATACAATCAATGCGAATGATTTGTATGTGTTAAAGCAAGCACAAACGATGCATTGTTACCAGATTCCTTTTGACACATACGGATGTTGATACATACCATGCATTCCATTAGGTCCTTTGGGTCCTCTAGGTCCTGATGGTCCTTTATTTCCTAAAAAACAGATTGCAAGCAATATAATACTACGAAAGACATTGATTTTTTTAGTGATATAACGGAGACGTAATCGTTCTAGCAGTTTGATTGAAGTCTGGAGCTAGCACGACAGTAACTGCTAGTATTCCTTTAACAATTTATGTTGATAATTGTCATTTTCCTCAGTTCCTTCCGTTTCCCATTCTTAAGTAGGACTCTGATTTCTATAAAACTGAGTTTTACTGTGCGTTTTGCAGTTTGTTTGTTTATAGGAAAATATCTCAATTTTTTAAAGACCAAATGGTCGCCTTGTGTTGTTTTTGCACTTTTGACGTCAATTTCCGTCTTAAATGTGTCTTATTTTTCTGAAATAAAGGTATTGACTTATTGAAATTTTTCCAAAAAATTAACTACAGTCATAAAAACTGGAACCAGAAATTAAAGTCCCTACAGATGAAAATACCTATATTCATTTAAATAAAGATTACATACATCTGATGTATGCAACTTTTAGAATAACAATGCTTAACAATAAGAAAAAAAAAGATATTTACAGGCCAAAATATGTTATTCTTTAACAATTTATAACTACGCACAAGGAACAAAGGTAAATGCTTTAGTATAAACTTTATGTCATTGGGATCTTAATTTCAATCAAAACTTTAAAATAAGCATGCATACGGTTCTATTTCTGTCAGATTTTTACAGAACTTTGACATGGAACATACAAAAATTCAGTAGGAGTTAGAAGATTTATTTTTTTTTATTCTTATATTTTTTAGTCTTTTTTTCCTTTTTTATTGGAAAAGTTATTTTCATGATAATAATGCTTTTTAACATCCAGATCCTAGCAACTTATTCAGTGCATCCGCTAAAACAACAGTCCAATCTATTGCTTGAAATGATGCATTTATATTTGTTGATCAATTGCAAGTGGCCGCTGCAATATCTTTTTAAAAGGCGAGATTTTATGTGATTTGTTCAATCACACATTAAGATAGAGAATATGAAATGCCATCATTATTACGATATACAGATATTTCTTTTTGAAAGTTCTGTGACTTCAGTGTTTGAATCGTACCTTATTCGTTGTTTCTCACAATATAAAAGAAGACATATACACATGACTTTAAAATCAAACAGATATGCATAAATGTTATTTAAGAAATGAAAAAGATGAGTTGTTTGCAATCTTTCAAAAATTTTGAAATGTTGCGAATACAAATAATGCGAATGATTTGTATGTGTTAATGCAAGCACATACGATGCATTTTGACCAGATTGCTTTTGACGCACACGGATATTGATACATACCCTGCATTCCTTTAGGTCCTCTTTGTCCTCTAGGTCCTGGTGGTCCTTGTCTTCCTGGAAAACAGATTGCCATCAATATAATACTACGAAAGACATTGATTTTTTATTGATATGATGAAGACATAATCGTACAATCATTTTGATTGAGGTCAGAACCTAGCACGACAGTAACTGCTAGTAGTCTTTTTTTAATGTTTCCGTAAAACTGAGTTTAACTGTGCGTTATGGTGTGTGTTTGTTTTTTTGCAAGATTTCTCATTTCTTTAAAGGCCCACTGGTGGCCTTGCGCTGTTTTTGCACTTTGGTCGGGATGTTGTTTCTTTCACACATTCGCCGTTTCCATTTTCTATTCTATCGATGTGTTAACTCGACAGCTGATTTGCAAACTTAACATGATGAAAATCCTTCGCAGTGACATCTCCCGTCTTACACAGCTGGTTTGGATCAGTGAAGACTGGAAATTGTACTAGAGGGTGTCTTGTATGCCCAAAGTCGAAATGGGGCCGTACGTTTGAAATATAAAACAATATATAGAATAAGCTAAACTGTCTTATGCTCTATTGAAATAAAACATTAAGATTTTTGCAAAAGGTTAAGTATAATCATGGAAATTGGAACCCAAAATTTAAGTTCCTTTATATGGAAAATACTGAAATTCATTTGAATAAAAATTTCTTTCATCTGATGGTTGCAACTTTTGAAATAGCAATGCTTAAACTAAGAAAAAGAATGACTTTCATAGTCGAACATATTTTTATTCTTCAACAATGTATAACTACGCACAAGGAACAAAGTTGAAAACTATAGTGTAAACTTCATGTTATTGAGATCTAAATTTAAATATATGACTTTCAAATAAGCATGCATACGATTCAATTTTTGTCAGGTGTTGATATAACTGTGAAATGGAACATACAAAAATTCAGTAGGAGTTTCAAGATTTTTTTTTTTTATTCTTATATTTTTTAGCTTATTTTCCTTTTTTATTTGAAAATTTTTTTTCATGATAAATATGTTTTTTTACGTTCAGATCCTAGCACATTATCAATTACATCCGCTAGAACAGCAGCGCAAACTACTGCTTGAAATGATTCATTCATATCTGTCAAATGATTGCAAGTTGCTGCTATAATATTTCTTTAAAAGGTGAGATTTAAATGATTTGTTCAAGCTCACATTAAGATAGAGAATATGGAATGCCATCATGATTATGATATCAAAATATTACTTTTTGAAAGTTCTATGACTTAAAATGATTTAATCGTACCTTATTCTTTGCATCTCACAATATACAGGAACAAATACATACATGACTTTTAAAATTGAACAGAAATTCAAAATGTTATTTTAGAAATTAAAAAGATGAGTTGTTTGCAATCTTTCAAACATTTTTTTTTTAAATGCCACGGATACAAAAAATGAGAATTATGAGTATGGGTTTTAACAAACACATACGATGCATTTTTACCAGATTACTTTTGACACACCCGGATGTTGATTAATACCTTTCATTCCTGGTGGTCCTTTAGGTCCTTGTGGTTCTTGTTTTCTTGGTTCTACTTCTTCTGGAAAACAGATTACCATTAATATGATACTACGAAAGACATTGATTGTTTGGTGATCTGATGAAGACATTATCGTTCGATCAGTTTAATGTAGGTCGGAAGCTAGTACGACAGTAACTATTAGTAGTCCGTTCTTAGTTTATGTTGATCATTGTCATTTTGTTAAGCTTCTTTTGTTTCCCATTCTTACATAGAACGCTGATTTCTTTAAAAATATGCGTATTGCTATGTGTTTGTTAATTTAACATTGGCTAGATGTATAAGAGAGGGTTGATATCTAACAAAACATTTCGAACCCCGCCACATTTTTGTGCCTGTCCCAAGTCAGGAACCTGTAGCCTTTGTTGGTGTTGTGTGTTGTTTTCATTGTGGTTCTTTTGTATGTTTTGGAGTTAAATTTATCGTCCATTATGCTGAACTAGTATTATTGTTGAGAGGCCAGCTGAAGCTTGCCTTCGAGTGCAAGATTTCTCTTTTCTTTTAAGACCAACTGGTAACCTTGTGCTGTGTTTTGCACTTTGGTCCGGTTAATGTTACTTTCACACATTACTCGTTTCCATTTCTATTATATTGGTGTGTTAACTCGACTGCTGATTTTCAAACTTAACATGAAAACCTTCCGTCTGACAAAGCTGGTTTGAGTCAGTGATAACTGGAAATCTTACTACTAGACGGTGTCCCGAATGCCCAAAAACATTACACTCTTGTTGATATTTTTGTCTCTCGTCGTTCAATATCCAATTATGACTATGCATTTATATTATCAATAATATAACTTAAACAGAGGAATTATTTTCGGTATATTTGCACTCATTAGTTCAATGAATTCCTTGATATTCTAATCATCAAAAACTCATTTCATATGACTTGAATGTAAATGTACTTTGTTTATATCTATACCAGATTTGACAGCAACTTCTAGAGTAGCAGCCTCAATCTAACGGATATTTTTCAAATGGTTTTCGTATACAAACCATTTTTGAAATTTTATGAAATAATTTACCACGCGTTTTTGACAAGGACTCTTGTACTAATCGATATCACATTAAGATTTTGAAATTAAAAATAGTGTTACTTGGTGAACAAATTGAAAAAGATGCCTGCTAATTAGTTGGCGGTGAACAACGCCAAAAATCGGTGCTTTACAGGTTATAATAACAACGCGACGACATTACGCTTTTTTCCCCATTTGTAGTATTGTTTTCACCAACAACTTTAAAAAATATTATTGTGACCTAGACTGGTTCCCTGTCCTTTATCTATTTGGCTCTGCCAGACAACAAAGGTATCTGAGATACTTGTATGTTGCAAGGGAGAGGTCCAGCCTAGTCTGTGACCAAACTAGTTTTTAAATAAATAAACCAAAAATTCCAGTATCAACAAAATATAAGTTTTAAAGAAAAAACCTATGGATTTGAAATCTTAAGATTTATAGACGAATCGAATAAGTGTTCGCCGATCTTATGTGTTTCCCATACAACAGTTCACTTACCTTAAAAGAATTTAATCAGTGATATTTCTGGTAAAAAGCTAAATGCATATTTTTTTTCGATCTTTAATTATAGCTCAATAAGTCAAAATTGTATACAACATTTTGAGTTATATGTATGTCTAAAACACTGTATGGTATCAATATTTACGACATCGACGATGAAGCATCGATATAAGTGCGTACCTGTCACTATATGTGTAGAATGAAACACAACATTGGGCATTAGTATTGAATTGATGTTGACAGCTAAATTCTATACCTGGCACGTTTCTGCTAGTTCAACTTTTTAAATTGTCAATATCGACATAAGATGCTTAATATGTTAACTGATACAGTAGTCCATAATTCTTCTATATCTGTAAAGCTATCGTTATCGTTTCCATATCGCCATTAAAAAATACTCTCCATTATGTTCGTTATTTATTTCATTCAGTTTAGTTAATGTTCTTCGTCACACTTATCTAATTCAATGGCACTTGAGTTTTGCATTTGTATGTTTAAAATCATTTTCATCTCAATATCTAAAACAATTTTATCATATTCTTTTTCTTCAATCATTTCATTTAGTTCAATTTACGTACCTTATGCAAATATTCAGATAAGGAAATGTATACAATTTTAAATCAGAGAACAAACCACATGTACACAATAAGGATGTTAACAACTGTAGGCCATCATACAGTCTTCAACAAAGACTAGCACTAATACTGGCATAACAAAATGTCAAATATTTTCAACTTGAAAACCAATATTGTGATTTAGAATAAATAATAAACGAAAATTGAATATATTGCAGACACCTAACGACGAAAGCCACTGAATTAAAGAGTTCCAGAGTTACATTGAGGATTTGGCGATGTAAAACATATCGATGAGAGCTAACCCATTTATTTAAATATAAAATGGTGAAGTGTTTATACATAAATACAAAATGTAAACAAAGGAAAAGGGTTTGAGATATCAGATCGTCACAAGGAACAACAAGAAGCAGACACACATCTCAAAATACCGATCTAAGAGTCCTCGAAACTATTCAAATCAATTTAAAATGTGTGTAATTGAGACCAATAAATAAACCATGTTTTGCCTATTTGAAAAAAAGAATGAGTTCACATCCACTGGATTTAAATCTTACATAGTTAGTCAGGTTTGTACTTTAGCTTATTTTGACAGTCTCTGTTTGTAACTTCGTATTTCTTTTAACCATGTTGGAAATAAAACATTGAGCTTTTTGCAAAAGGTTAAGCATAGTCATGGAACCAGAATTCAAGTTCCTTTATATGAAAATATACTTAAATTCATTAAAATAAAGATTTCTTACATCTGATGTTTGATACTTTTAGAATATCAATGCTTACACAAAGAGAAACAATGATGTTCATAGCCGAAAATATTTTATTCTTTAACAATTTATGACTACGCACAAGGCACATGAGGAACAAAGGTAAATACTTTAGTGTAAACTTTATGGTATTGAGATCTAAATTTCAATCTATGACTTTAAAATAAGAAAGCATACGATTCAATCTCTGTCAGATTAACTTTGACATGAACATACAAAACTTCAGTAGGAGTTACAAGTTTATTTTGTTTTATACATTCTCATATTTTTAGTTTATTTTCCTTTTTTATTCGAAAAGTTTTTTTCATGATAATATTGTTTTTACCTTTAGATCCTAGCACATTATCCAGTACATCCGCGAAAACAACAGCGCAAACTACTGCTAGAAATAAAACTTTCATATTTTTCAAACAATTGCAAGTGACCGCTGGAATATCTCTTCAAAAGGTGACTTGAATGTACCAGTGGTTTAACAACTGTGTTGATTCTACTTATTTATACGATTTTAAGTAACACAAAGTTGACAAATAACAGCTGCGATTTAAATTGACATTTTGTCAACCAATAAGATGTGTTCATGGGTAAAACAGCATGTTATACTTAAACGAGCATTTAAGGTATGTAGTTTGCGTGGGGTGTTTTTTTGTAAGTGTTTGCAATGTAACTAAATTTTATGTGTTTACATATTAAAAAAAAATAATTTTGGAGCAACATAATCATTTTTTGTTTTTCTTTTCTCTCTCACAAATAACAGCAGTTTATATTAATAAGAGTCTATAGAGAACAGCCAACCAGCAAATGTAAAACATATCGGACTAATTTTACAGCAAAGACAATTAAAATTCAGTCCTAAATTTGTGAAACGATGACATTAACAGATAAGAATGCAGTAACTAACTGCGAGTACTCTCAAGTCTATTCGTTGTGTCTTTTGTGTTTTTGTTTTTATTTTGTTTTGTGCTTTGTTTCGATCTGATGAGTTTATTCCTTTTTAACTGATTTTGTCATTTTGTGCTTATGTTGTACTGTTACACAACTTTCTAGGCTAGGGGGAGGTTTTAACGCCAGCAAACATGTGTAACCCCGCAACATTATGTATGTGCTTGTCCAAAGTCAGGAGCCTGTTATTCAGTGGTTTTCGTTTTTTGCTCTTTAATTTATCTGTTTTTCGTTTATTGTTTTGTACACAAATTAAGCCGTTATTTTTTACGTTTGAGTTGTTTTTGTTGTTTTTTTTTTTTTACATTTGTACTTTCGGAGCCTTAAAAGGCTTAAAAATATATATATGTACTAGTACATTTCTAGACAACGAATCTAATGGTCATTGTTCGGCCAGTATTTGCATGTCAAAGATACCCGTATATGTCTACTTATGTATGGGGATGAACACATACGCAACCACGCTTGCTAAGGTTTGATTGTTTTCTTATATATGATAATGTATGTGATTACTTGTATAAATTTGTGTGCTCATTTAAAACAATAAATAACTCACTGTGCTGACACACTTAGATGCATTAGTGTACTCATTTTAAACAATAAATAACTCACTGTGCTGACGCATTTTGAAAAAGGGCTGACACTATTGAAGGTTATTTTTTGTATCAAAATATCTGTCATTACGTATCATTTCATCTTGTTCATACATTTTGTTATCCTTTATCTATATATGTTCTTGCACACACCTTAATTCTACTATATATCTAAAAAATAAAAAAATAATAAAAAAGTAGTTATTTCGAACAAGATTTGTTCAAGAGATTATACTGTATTTGATTTCAATTTGAGTGTTTGGATCAAATCCAAAATTAGGCATTTAATTAAAAATATTTTGCATCAAAATGAAAATATGAACTAAGTTTAAAGTAAATGTGACTTCACCTTTATGGTAAACTACTTTGACAAAAAAACTGTAAATGTATACGAAACGTTCAGACGCACTGACCAGAAACCATAAAGTCCTTTTAGTATCGTAAGCGGGGCTTTAACGTTAAAACAATAATGCAAATATAACATACATTTTCAGTACAAAAAACATTTTATTATATGCTAATAAGAAGATGTGGTATGATTGCCAATAAGAAAACACTTTACCGAGACTAACATGACTAAATGGCTCAGAACAAATTTACTTTATGTCATTAAACAGCCTTCAACAGTGAGTAA